TCCTTCCTTCCTTCCTTCCTTCCTTCCCACCTTCCGTTTCCCTTGTCTCTTTTCTTTTGTCGGTTATTTCAATTCTATCTTTGTTAGAACCTGTCCAAGAATCACTGAGCATACTGTGGATTTTGCAGTTAAGCCCAGCATTAGAAGAGCAATTTCTGTGTCAGCAATGATTCTGTACTCTGAGAAAGGCTTTGAAGGATTTCCAGGGAAAGTGAAGCAGTATTTACTGACGTCCAGGTGCAGTTTGGGTCTCTAACCTCTGACCTGTCCCTTTCGGTTTTGCAATGAGAAGCCAGAGTGCAAAGCAAAAGTTCGAAATTAAGAGGAGGAAAATACTGGCAAAGAGGAAGTCCTGAGAACCCTGCAGAAAACTCCGTTTAAAACAATGACAAGAAAACAACTTTTCGTCTTATTTTTTTCCCCCCTTACTCTTAAGGACAGATACAAGTTGAAGTCTAAGGTATCTGTAATCTCATTATATTTACCAGAATGAGTGTGGCTAGGCAGAAAAATAAAGTACTTTATTTCAATGCTACTGGCATATTTTGGTGATCTAGGAGTTCCCATTAGTCCTTTAGTCTTTTCAACGTTGTGAATTTACAGTCAGATTTTCTTTCTTTCATTTTTCGTTTTTCCTCCCTCAAAGAGAGGTACACAAAGGATTCTACTCAGTCCATGAACTTTTTTAGAATTATCAGAACCCTTTAAAAATATAAATCATGCACAAAGTTTCATAAAGCAAACATATATAAGTTATCCAAATTTTAAAAAACTCTGAAGTTGATGCCAGCCTATAAAATTTCTCTAGGCATTAATTACATAACTAAACAAATGTGTTTTCTTAAAATTCTCTCTATATATATACACAGTAGCACCCAAAACACTGAGAATATGGAAATCTAAATAAGTAGCTAAAATGCAGAAATAGTCCATTTCCATTCAAATAAAAATATTTTCTTTTTTAAAATATGAGAATTTAGTAGATTCAAATAAAATTGGCTGTGACTGAGAATAGGAGCCCCAAGAATAAGCGGGTTTGTGACCATAGTTGTACAAACTTGCAAACCAGTGAAACAACTTTAGTCTATATATTATTTCAGGGCTAGACTTTATCGGGTAACTTAACTAACCAGACAATAACACCTTACTAATTTTAAAGCCTGAAACTTTCTAATAAATCCCAGCTATTCAAAGGAAGGCTTTTTACTCACCTGTCCCTTTGAGAAAGGAGCTCCGATGACCCCTATGGATTTTGACTTAGAACTCATGCTCTGACGTTTCTTGTCACTGCACCTGAGTTCTCCAGCCGGTCAGCACTGTCTGCAACCCTCAATGACAGAAGGCACATATTTTTTCCCCTTATAATTGGGCTGAATCTGTTTACCTTATTCTAATAAGGAAGGTTGGCTCCACCTACTGAGCCAAAGAATGTCAACTCGAAGCCTTAAAATCCTTTGTATGTGGAGGAACTTGGGTCTCTAATTAAGCAAAGTTATTCATGTGGCCACTTCACAGCCATTTGACAAGTCAGCTGGCTTAACATCTTCCCTCATCACAGTCTTTATTTCCTAATCATCATAATCTTTGTAATCTAATCAACTCATCATTATCACATATACAATGCCAAGGTTCTAGTTGTACATACTCAGGGAATGTCACTCGCTTCCTCCAGGGCTTTGAGTCTTTCTGTGTCAAAAAAGGGCTGGGACTGGCAAGATGATCTCCTCACATCTGTTCAAGCCCTGCAATCCTGAGTTCAGGTTTCACACCCTAGGATTAATGGTTAATCAATGAGACACACATCATACACCACTAGGGTACAGTCTTAGGGAAAGCATATGACTTCCAAGCTTATTATTAAAGAAAATGTTAATTGTCTCATTAATAACCCAGAGGTGTTACCATACAAGTCTTTGGAGTCATAATACATAATCAAGATATAGAAGTAAAAACAGCCAACACTGAGTTTTTATCATATGCTAGATGCTGTTTGCTTTATATTATCTCATTTAAACCTTATGCCAACTTTATGTCATCTCATCTTTGGTGCCATTTTACTGATGAGGAAACTGAAACTCAGAGAGGTTGCCAACTGTCTTGAACAGATGGTAGAGGAAGAGCCATAATTCACTGTTAAGCCTAATGGATCCACCTAACCTCTGGGCTTTACAGTGACACACAAGAGCCAAGTGTCAGATATATGTGCCTCTCAGATCTGTGAGGGAAGTCATTTATTGTCATAAAAAGTATGGATTTAGAAGAGATGCACCCTAAAAATCCATCCAACTTTAAAATGACACGATTGTAATTTATAAGAAAAATTCACGTGGTAGAAACGAATTTCTTTTTTCTATTGGTGGGAGAGATCGTGGTGGAGTATTTAAATTCCATGAGGGCAGCCCTGGCCAGTGCGGCTCAGTTGGTTGGGCACTACTCAGTGCACTGAAAAGCTGCAGGTTCGATTCCCAGTCAGGGCACATGCCTGGGTTGCAGGCTTGATTCCCAGTAGGGGGCGTGCAGGAGGCAGCAGATCGACGCACTCTCACACTGATGTTTCTCTCTTTCCCCCTCCTTTCTTCTCTCTAAAAATCTATTTTAAAAATCTTTAAAAATATATATAAATTCCATGAAGGCAGAATTTTGTCTGTTGCATTCCCAGAACCTAGAACAAGGCTGATATGCAATAGGCACTCAATAAATATTTATGGAATATGTGAACAAGAAACCAAGGTTTCATGGGTCCAGTTTAATAGGACCATTTCCAAATAGGCTTCCTATCTTTCACTTGTGGATTTGCTTGTGTATCTTAGATATTTACTTGTAGTATTTTGTATAGCTAACTATTAACCTCTTATGGCAGCGATTTTCAACCTTTTAAATCTCATGGCACACATAAACTAATTACTAAACTTTTGTGGCACACCAAAAAATATATTTTTTGCCAATCTGATGAAAAAAACAGGTATAATTTTGATTCATTCACACCGGACAGCTATTGTTGTGTTGGTTGTTGTCATGTTTTAATTTTTGTTTTATTTTTATTCCTCACCCGAAGATATTTTTTCCACTGCTTTTCAGAGAGAGTGAAAGAGAGAGAGAGAGAAACACCAATGTGAGAGAGACACACTGATTGGTTGCCTCTTGCACACCCCCCGACAGGGCCGGGGACGAGCCTGCACCGAGGTACATGCCCTTGGCCAGAGTTGAACTTGGGACCCTTCAGTCGATGGGCCAACGCTCTGACCACTGAGCCAAACCAGCTAGGGCTGCTGTCATTTTTTTATTTGACAATCTAAAAGAAAAGAGGTCTGCCCAGCCGGGCGTGGCTCAGCGGTTGAGCATCGACCTAGGATCCAGGTGCTTGGGGTTCGATTCCTGATCAGGGCACTTGCCCGGGTTGTGGGCTAGGCAGCCGATCAATGACTCTCTCAGCATTGATGCTTCTCTCTCTCTCCCTCTCCTTTCCTCTCTCTGAAATCAATAAAGATATATTTTTAAAATTTTCTTAAATTAAAAATAAATAAATAAATAAATAAATAAATAAATAAATAAATAAATAAATAAATAAAAGAGGTCAGTGTCCCTAAGTAGTCAGGTATTGTATGTTTTAAAAATTCTTGCAGTATATCCATTTGCCACAGGACACTGAAAATCACTGACTTATGGTGCTGACATTCCAAAAAAATTTCCCAAGTGTCAGTAATCTGATAATTTTGTATATGTCATCACCCCAAATCCTTAATTTTTATAGGCAACTGAATCATTTTGTGTTTTGGAAATTTTGATTAAGTCCTTCCTAGTCCAAAATCACAAATACATATTTCTATATTTTCTTCTATTTGCTTTAGGGTTTATCTTTCACATTTACTTCTTTAATCCATCTGCACACATCTTGGTATATTGTGAAAGTTCTCCAACTATACTTTTTCCTATATAATCCATCAGTTTTCTAAATGGAACCCATTTCCACATGTACAACTGTAAATCTACTTTTGCCCAACCCTGTATTTTCAGGAATAATGTGAGGATATGATGAAGGTACTCTTCTCCAGAAGATATTGGTGTAGTTTCCAGGCACATCAGGGCAAAACAAGTGCAGGACTACTTTAAATCAAATTCAGAGGCTGAGGTTCCCTGTACCACTTGGGAATTAAAGCTTTGATGCAAATTGTTGTGAAAGCTGATTAACTTTTTGTTCACCTTACTCTGAAGATCTAGCTCTTTAGGGTCACAGATCTTTTTTAGGTCCTCTCTTCAATTCTGAACTTTTTATATGCCCTGGGCTTTTATTTATGTCCATTTTACTCCATAAGGCTATCAAAACAAAAGTCAAAATTTACCTGAATAGTCAAATGGCCCAGGGCAAAAGCAGTTTCTGTTCTAGCTTACCCCTTGGGCTTCCCACTTCCCATTTTAATTTTAGCCTTGTGATTTTTTGCTGTCATGTTAGGTCATCACTGCTTTTAAATGAGTGAAGGGTAAGTGGTTTCTCAGTTAGGTGGACCTAGACACTGCTGTTTTCTCAGATTTGGGAATATCCATTGCTTTCCATTCCCACTGAGGTCTAGCTTCTGAACCTAGTGCCTCCAGAGTTCAAAATTTTTGCCAGCATGGCAGTTGGAAGCAGAACTATGAGTGGTATTTACTGTGTAATGTCCATGGACTTGATTGCCAAACTCTATTACAGGGGAATACCCAGGAAGGTTTGTGCTTCTGGGAGGAGCTTTCACTGTTTTCAAGGCTTTCAAAGAATTGTATGAAAGTTCAAGGTCTGATGCTTTCTTTTCTGTATTGACAGAAGAAAGTCACACCCTCATTAGGACACATGTAGTTTTAGTACCAGTTGAATTCATACTGCTGATATAAGCAAGTAAAACTATTTGTTCTAGAGAAGCCTTAGAGAAAAGTATGCTTACACTACTAAGACCAAAATCCCAAAGGAAGATGTCAGTAACCT